GATAGGTGTGATAGTGACTATAGATAGATTGTGACTATATAGGATAGATTTTAATAATAAAGTGTTTTGAACATTCAACTGGTGTGACTATATAGTAGAATGTGACTATAACGGGAGTGACTATAGAGGGAGCTGACTGTAAAGAAAAATTGCCAGACGATGCTATTGCTTCTATTTGTAAACATTTAACAAAGATCTGGACTAAAAAAAAAGTGTGAGAATGGTGGAATTACCATAAAGATAAATAAGACATCATCGGGAAATTTTTTGGGGAGCAGATCTGCGCAGATTTTCAGAAATTATATCTGCGCAGATCTTATACCCTGGCGCAAAACATCAGAGGAAAAATACAATAAAAAACTGCGCAGATTTTATAAATAACAAAGTTCTGCGCAGATTTTTGTTATTAAATTCTGCACATATTTTACAAAATAAAAATCTGCAAAATTCATCAAATAATAATAAATTATACAAATTTTGATTGTTATTTTAGCATTATCTAACATCAATTTATTAATTAAACGCACTACAAATTTATCACTTTACTATACTATTTTATTAATGTACTAATAGCTAAAGTTCTACTGTAATTTACATGTTGTTAATGGTTTGGATATTATTCCAGTTAGTTCGATTCCAACAAACAACTATTTAAATTTACGTTTAGGAAGCGTCCAGGAACTTGTAGACCTACCAAAAGTAGAAAAGTAAAAACATTCAGTTAATTAGTAATGTTTCATTAAAAAAAATAACATTTAAACTTCGAAGAATACCTTCGAAGTTCCATCCAGGTGCAATCCAAGAAGTCGCGGACCTACAAATTTCATTTCTTTGAAAATCTTTATTTTTTTTTCAAAGTTCCATCCAGATGTCATCCAAAAAGTTGCTGACTTACAGTATAAAAAAAGAAACGAGATATTAGTTGATATTTCATTAAAGAAAACAAAAGAAATTAAAGAACTTCGAAGGATACCTTTGAAATTCAATTCAGAAAGCACCAGGAAGCCATAGACCTACAAAAAGAGAATACGTTAGTAAAGTTCATTAAAAAACAAAAAAATTACTGAAGTTTCGAAAAGAATATGATTCTTTTCAAAACTCACCTATTCAAAGACCGCAACCGATACCTGAAGTTTTGAAAAGTTAATGTAACTTTTCAAAACTTACCACAGGTTTCGTTTCCAAAGGTCCCAACTTGATACCTACAAAATAAAGAAAAGAAAATTAAAAAAATTAAAGTTTCGAAAAGTAATGAAACTTTTCGAAACTCACCTATCTAAAGATTCCAACCGATGCTAATCGATACCTACAAAATAAAGAAAAGAAAATTAAAAAAAAATTAAAGTTTCGAAAAGTAATGAAACTTTTTGAAACTCACCTATCTAAAGTTTCCAACCGATGCTAATCGATACCTACAAAATAAAGAAAAGAAAATTAAAAAAAAATTGAAGTTTCGAAAAGTTAATGTTAACTTTTCAAAACTTACCACAGGTTTCCAAAGGTCGCAACCGATACCTACAAAATAAAGAAAAGAAAATTAAAAAAAAATTAAAGTTTTGAAAAGTTTTGTAATAAAACTTTCAAAACTCACCTATCCAAAGGTCCCAACCGATGCCAATCGATACCTACAAAATATAAAGAAAAAAATTTAACAAAAAAATACTTGAAGTTTCGAAAAGAAGGAACAAAACTTTTCAAAACTCACCTAGTATCCAAAGGTCGCAACCGATACCTACAAAATAAAGAAAAGAAAATTAAAAAAAAAGAAGTAAAAAAAATTAAAGTTTCAAAAGAATGAAACTCTTAAAACTTACCGGATCCAAAGTGAAGGATCTTACTGAAACCTAAAAAATAAAAAAAAAGTATTAATTTTTTGAAAAAAACAAAGTTTTAAAAGTTTCTAAAGAATGAAACTTTTGAAACTTACCGATCCAAAGTGAAGGGTCTCACCGATTTAAAAAAATAAATAAAAAAAAATATTAAAAAAATTTTTTTTTTAAAAAAAATGAAGTTTCAAAAAAATGAAACTTTCGAAACTTACGTGAAAGCAAGGGTTTCACCGATACCTAAAAAAAAGAAACAAAAAAAAAATAATTTTTTTTTAAAAAATAAAAGTTTCGAAAGTTTGAAGAATAAAACTTTCGAAACTTACCAATCCAAAGTAAAGGGCGCCGATACCCGTCGTCTTCAAAGTCCAGTAACCGAAGAACCTAAAGAATATGAACGAAATTAGAAGAATAAAACAAGACAAACCAAAAAAGAAAGAATAAAATTAAAAAAACTCCACCCGTTGTCTCCAAATTCCAGGAACTGAAAAAACTAAAGAAAAGAACGAAATTAGCAGAAGGAAACAAGATAATAAACGAAAAAGAGAAATAAAATAAAAAAAAACTCACCCTTCGTCTCCAAAGTCCAAAACAGAAGAATCTAAAGAAGAAGAAAAATGAAATTAGCGAAAAGAAATAAGAATAAAACAATAATAAAACAAAAAGAAATATAATTAAAAAAAGTCCCCTACCAGTTATCTCCAAAGTCCGGAACTGAATTAAAAGCTCAGATGATCTGGATAATCTCATAATCCATTAGTAACACAGATAATAATCTGGATGGTCCGTTACGGCATAACCGATATCTTTTCATCCGTAAACGGCAGATATCTGACCATAGATACGGATTGAAAATGAACGACTATCAGAACTTAAAAAAAATAAAAAATGAACGTTAGTGACGTTCATTAAAAAAAAATATAAATAAAAAAATAAATTTGAAGGTTTTTACCTTCAAAAATAAAGTCCGGAGCCGCACTTCAGCGTTCAGGACCTAAAAATATGAAAAACGAACATTAGTGATGTTCGTTAAATAAAAAATTATTTTTTTTTTAAAATAAATTAAAGATTCGGAAGTTAATATACCTCCGAATTCCAAAATCTTTGATAGGTTCTATCCGGAACCTATATAATATAAAAAAATATATTTTTTTTTTAAAAAAATTAATTAAGATTCAGAGGTAAACATACCTCCAAATTCCAATATCTTTGATAGGTTCTATCCGGAACCTATATAATATAAAAAAATATATTTTTTTTAAAAAAAAATTAATTACTAAGATTCGGAGGTAAGCATACCTCCGAATTTCAATATCTTTGATAGGTACCTATATAATATAAAAAAATTTATTTTTTTTAAAAAAAATTAATTACTAAGATTCAGAGTTAAGCATACTTCCGAATTCCAAAATTATCGATGGGTTCCATCTGGAACCTATATAATATTAAAAATTTTTTTTTTAAAAAAATAAATTAAGTTTTGGAGGTAAGCATACCTCCAAAATCATCAAAAGGTTCCATTCAGAACCTATAATATATAAAAAAATTTTTTTTCTCTAAAAAAAATTAAGTTTCAGAGGTGATATACCTCCAAATTAAAAGTGATAATAGGAACTTTTCTTGACTTACAAACTGAACTTTAACTGACGTTCATTAAAAAAAATTTTTTTTTTTCAAAAAAAAAAAGGAATACGACTCCTTTTTAGTTCTGATTTTCCTGCATGTTGCAGATTACGTGCCGAATGTTAGACGAATTTGCCTTAAAGATTCTGAACCTTGCAAAAAATTTCTCTGATAAGCTTCGAAGCTTAAAAAATAATAGAAATATTTTTTCTTTGGAATCTTTAACAGATTATTTCCTAAAAGGTATTGTAGAAAAAATTATTTCACAAAGTTTTTTTCCTTAGTAATAAGTGTTGTAGAAAAAATTATTTTTTTTAAAGTCTTGTAAAGTTTTTTATTTTAAAGATTATTGTTGAAAAAATCATTTATGTATTAAATCAAGTTAGAGTTAATCAAAGTTTAAATATTAAATCAATGATGAAATTGCAGATCGAACTGATATTTTAATGAAAAAAAAGCAAAAATCTGCAAAATTGCAGACTTTCGCATAAATTTCACATAAAAAAAAGCAGAAATCTGCAAAATCGCAGATTACCGCAAAAATTCATACATAAAAAATTGGAAACTTGCAAAATTGCAGATTATTGCATAACTTTGTAAAAAATAAAAAGCACAAATCTGCAAAATCGCAGACTTCCACATAAATTCACAAAAAAAATGCGGAGATCTGCTAATTTTACAGATCTCCACAGTTCTGCATCTTAAAAAATTTCCCGATGATACTTTCTGTAATAAAAAATATATTTATATGTCAGTTATACACTTAATTTATACCAATATCATTATAATAAAATAAGAATTTTATATGTATTATAAAATTTACTATCCTAATCACCTTTTTGTGCTTAAGTAACTCAATTGTACATAAAAAACTACATATAATTAATAATTTAAAATCACGTTTAGTTTTTATTAAAGGGTTGCATTTTGTGATTATAGTCAAAAAAATAGTAAAAAGTCAGTATAGTAAACTTTTTTGTAAAAGTGTTGTATTATAAAAAAAATATTGGAACATACTTTACAGAAACTTCAAGATCGTAGCGATGGTTTAATGCGTAGTAACTGCATATATGTAATTTCTTTACGATTACATAATGTGGTCACTATATATTTATAACACAGTTACTGCGCATTAAGCCATCGTTATGATCTTGAAGTTTCTGTAAAGTATAGGTAAGAATATAAAAAATAAAAGTTTATTAAATTTTGGATATGTTGTTTGAAAAAAAAATTACGTTGTATTAAACACAAAGTTTTGGTAATATTTTTGCCAATCATTTTTTAATCAATGATTGGCATATGAAATGACATTTCTGCTAACTGTTAATGTTTAATATTTTTTTAATAAAAAATCTAAAATCTTTAAGGATAGAGTACACACTATAATTGATTTTAATAATTATATGATGGCATATCAATTTTAAAGTAATACAAGAGAAGATCGGTCTAATAAAAAATAGGCAACATGTGCCAAACCCTTTTCGTACTTTTTGTGTAAGCTTTTTGAAACCAATAATATATGTTGTATAAAAATTAAAGTTTATTTATACTTTAACGTTCATATGAAGTTTAAGAAAACTGCCAATTTTTCAAAAAGTTGCCAATTTTTTAGTTTGTTCTAAGTAACCATAACTAAAACTCTTATATTATATTAAAAACTATTATAGAAACCAAAAGAGTAAGTCTATTTTTTATTGTTTATTTCTTTAAAATGAAAAAAGAAAGAAAAAAATATAAATATAAATTATATAATATTATATATATAAACCATATTATAAAAATATTATAGACAATTAGATCTATTAAGGTTGATAGATTGGAAAATATCTTTAAAGTTAAATAACATAAATCAATATGATACATTGTTTGAGGATCATTATTTACAATCATTTAGGATAAAAATTTGTTGTAATGAATTACCAACTTGTGCTAATTTAAAAAAGCGTAAGCCAGATCTATACGATGAAGATTGGAGATGTAATTTTTGTAAAATAGAAGAAGAAATCTGTGATCATTTTTGGAAATGTAGTAAGATTCAAAATGTTGTGCAAGATATACTCAAACAATTAAAAATTTTTTTAGCTAAAATTATACAGGAGTATTCAAGAGATGATATAGATACACAAAAATTAAAAGGTAAAATTAATGAGCTTGGTATGTGGGATATTGGATATTTATATGATTTTACATTTTTAATGAAGAATCAAGTCAGTTGTCAGTTAATAGAATTATTAAGGTGCTATAAAATAACTGAAGAAAAATTGTTGTATAAGGTACTGAAACAAATAACTGGAAGAGTTTTATTAGAATTCAAAGTGCTTATCTGGGAACCAAGGAATGAGTTACAAATTAAGGAAGAAAAGCGGTGCGGTATTAGCGGTAAAGATAAAAAAGTTAAGTTACATAGTAAACGTACTGAAGTGGTTGTTAAATATGTTGGCTGTAATATGTTAGAAAGTAATTGGAATAAATGGAATGATTTGGCATTCCATCGAGGTGGTCATTAGGCAAATTTTTAGGTAGATCATGACAGTCACCTTTGAATTTGAGGTCGCATCATGGTTTTTAACAATGATGTGATCGTTTAGGTGACAGGTCGACTTGTTCTTTATGAAAAGTAGTCTTGTTTCATAATGCTTAATTCCTGTCTCTTATACACATCTAGATGTGTATAAGAGACAGGTTTTAGGTTCTTTATTTTTATTTATAATAAAACTATTGATTATAGATATTAATTTACTATAAGAAAAGTTTTTCAAAGAAGTAAATTAATTTTTATGGTATTTTTTGTGAGGAAAATTTAGAGAATTAATAAATTTAGATTAAAATTTTGGTTTTAAGTTCTTTTCGTTAGTATATGTCAAATTGCCGATCACTTACCAATAACAATAATTAGTCATGCATGTTAACTAATAAAAAAATGATTATATGGTATACTCTATCCTTAAAATAAAATATAAATTATATTTTTAACAAATTGTACTATTTTAAAAAGTTAATTAATATTTAATAATTCAATATTAATATTACTATATTTCATTTGATGAACAGCTTTCTCATTCTAACGCATTTTGAAGACTTTTGCAAATATGGGCCCATTAATATTAACGTTCTGACAGTTGTTGAGAAAGTAGTTAAAGTCTGAAGGATACTTCAGCCTAGTCTTTTTATCATTAATTCTATTAGGTCCTATGAAGTAGATGTGGATCTCTTTACAAAGTTTACTTGGATTTGGATTTACATTAATGTTATTGGGGCATTTTGGTTAAAGGTTATTTTCTTTTTATTGCAAGGAAAATTAAATTTATCCATAATACAGTAAGTCCTGTAGTTCCTATCATGTAGAAAGAGAGGTAACTGCTAAGATAGATCATTTCTAAACATGTCTTACTCTCTGAGCATAATTACCACCTGATAGTGCACATGTGAAGTATTCTATAATATAACAGGTGGTTTGTTAATTAATAATGTTAGGTTTTAGTAATAGACTTTATTATATAAATTGTATTCTATTTATTCCTTTTACTTAATAAATTAGCAAATGTGCTGTGGTTATAAAAAAAAAAAATAATAATTCAATACAGTCAACTCTCTTTATAGTCACACATTTGGGACAAGCCATTTTCCGTGATTATAAAGAAGTGTGACTATATACAAAACATATATAAAAATTAAATTTTTAATACATTTTATTATAGTACTTTATTAAAAAATATATGTATATATTGTTAAATCTGCAACCAGTAATCGTAGAAAGATGCAACACAGCTCGTTGGAATCGTCTCAATAAGACAATTCCAACGAGCTGTGTTGCATCTTTCTACGATCATTAGATGCTGAGCAATTTATTATATTCTTTACATAACTGTAACTATAAACAGTACTTTTTAATATGAGATTTTTGAAAATAGGTGTGATAGTGACTATAGATAGATTGTGACTATATAGGATAGATTTTAATAATAAAATGTTTTGAACATTCAACTGGTGTGACTATATAGTAGAATGTAACTATAACGAGAGTGACTATAAAGTAATGGAGTTGACTGTATTAATAAACTTTTTTTTTATTTTATAATTTTTATTAAGTTTTATAATTTAAAAAAAGGTTGTTAAAATTAGATTGCTAATTATTAAAAAAATTGCAAAACTAATTTTTTAAATTTAAGTAAAAGATGTAATTTTTGTTAAAAATACTTTATAATTTATATATTGGATTTCTGGAATTTTGTAAAATAAAATTTATATATAAAATATTTTGAAGATTTTATTATATATATATGAAAAAAAAAATATTATTTAATTTTTTTAAATACTAAAAATTATAGTAATTTCTATTAAAATATATGAAATCCTTAATAAAACCTATTTTTTTGCAAAAATTTTTAATAGTTTTATCAAATTTTAAGTAAAGATTTTAATATTTTTTATTTGGTTAAATTTTATAAAGAATTCTATATATTTATAAAAGTTGCAGTTTTAGATAGCCAAAATAAATACAAAAGACATAAAAATAAACAAATAAAATAAATAAAATGCAAATATAAATTTTATTTTAGCTGTTTAAGTATATTTATGACTGTCCTGGCATGCATTATGGCGTTTTTGACCAGAATTATAACTACTTTGGCCGGAATTAAATTTAAAAAATGGTTGTTTAATTTTGAAATGGTACAGTATTTAAATTGCTTAAAATGAAATTTATTTTTTAAGACATTTATTTAATAGTTGTATATAAAAGTTTATTTAATAGTTATGTATAAAGGTTATTCAATAGTTTATTTTATTAGAATACATAATGAGATATTGTGTACTACTATTAGTTCAATAAAATATTATTATGTAATTATTATATAATATAAACAAGAATAATAATGTATTAGGTAATAAATAAATTATTGTTGCCTATTACTATTTATTTATTAAACAATTTAATTTAATACTTAAATAAAATCCAAATTTTTTAGTAAAAATTTAATTGCAAAGAAAATCTAATGATTTTTGATTTAATTTCTTAATGATAATCTGTTTACGCCATCTACTTATCTTCTGTTTCCGCTTTAAATGAGAATTTTTAAGTACACTACCTTACCCTGTTACTGCTGTATTAAAGAATTAGATTGCTCATTTGGGTGTACGTTTAAAAATATATTGGTTATAAGAACTTGGATAGCCAGAACAACATTATTACTATATGACCCATGGATGGGAAGTTGGGAACCTAAATGTTGGACTTAATGTACCATTAAAAGCGTTTTATTGATTTCTTTATACGTAAAAAAGCAAAATGATTACGTAGGTATCAGAAGATAGTAATTCCGTATGACTGGAAAAATGGTGACCCCGCTAGGCTTCCGACCAATTTTAATTATAATTGTGCGGGACGTCATGTCGCTTCTCTGGACCTTCCACACTCAAACCAACATTCGTGATGTTAACAGACGAAGAGAAAATCACGTATCTTTTAAAAAGTCAGAAACAGCTAACGAAGATGATGAAACAGATGAAATTTCGAACTGTGAATCTAACGTGGACATACTATTAAGAAAAAGAGAAGATAATGAGGCATATGATCGGTATCTCCATCTGTTGCAGAGTAGCACAAACATGGGATAGAATGAGAAGCAACGGCATCTTGGCAACAAAATTGAGTGTGGAAACGATGCAGATATTGCAATGGGCTTCGGAAATTGCTCTAACTCCAGAACAATCCATAAATTGCAAGCATCCTTTGGGGAGTTGTGCAGAGTCGGTACCATGTGAGCATCATAGCATCTGTCATCTTGTTCACATGCACCCTTGCCCGATGTATGACTACAACGAAACAAGCCTGAAGAATTCAAGGAATAATTTGCACATATATAAAGTGTTCTGCATTAAAAAACCAGCGAAATAATAATTAATATGATAAAGTAATAAAACTTGTGAATTTTTCGTTATACTGCAAAAGCGATCAGCGTTACAATGTGATTACCTTGTAAGTCTCGCTTAACACGATGTATTATTTGTTTAGCGCCTAGCTTTGATACCTTATTCGGGTGAAACTGTATTGTAGCACAAATCTCGGTTCATTAGTCATATTATTCTATTAAAAAGATTCCTTTCTGGTCGGTTTAGGGAAAATATTAAACGTGACTTCAGTACACAATTAATTCAAATTATAAAGGTAAAATGATGATGAAAAAGAATTTAATAAATTTTAATAGTAAGTTATTGTTGATTTATGATCGTTAAAGCAAGTATTGATGCAGGAATAAAAATGATTACCCAAAAATGCAACATTTAGACTTTACGAAGAATAAAGGATTCTAAGATTGAACCGAATAAAAGATCTTTTTTTTCATTAAAGCCACAAATAAATAAAAATAAAAAGTATATATCATACTTTTCGATCTATTTCGTCAAATAACGCAATATCAACAAAATAAACAAGATTATAACGAATCATTTATTATCACGTTACCAAATTCTTATTAATCACTAAATTCGGTATCAATGGTGGGCAGGAAAATATACTCGTTGATTTTCTCCAACATTCTTAAAAATCAATCGATTTTTCTTATAAAATGCACTTGGCTGTGCTCTTCTTTTCCTTCCACTTGTTGTCGTTTTTATATTTAATTTTTTAATTCAAAAGCCTCGATGGCGCAGATACTGCGCATCTTAAGAAATGAATTCTTACGCTCAAATTTAGATTAGTACCAAACAAACGAACGAATAAAATCACATTAAATCTTACTTGATTAATCTAAAAATAAATAATGGTTTCATTTTAAATAAAGAAAAAAAAATTTTATTTCTAAAAATAAACACGAAAAAGTGCAAAAAGGGCGCTTTTATCGGAAATCACAAGTCACAACATTTCAAATTGATCAAAGGCTGAATAAATTACCTTAAACTACAATCGATTTTTTTACTTCAAGGTAAAATTCGCTGGAAAAACTTTATCGAAAAAATAAGACCCTCAATATAGACAATTTAGGTAATATGGTTTAGCGCGTCATCAAACTTTACAACAATCGCGTTTCAATAATATTATCTAGATGATTGCGTTATTGCGTTATTTAAACGCCGAGATAAAATCTCTCTTAAAACAGAACTTACAATAAAAAGTTAATTTTGGAAATTTGCAACATTGGATCAACAAATAATTTTTAACGGTGAGTTTCTTTTTTTAGCTTAATTTTCTCGAATTCTTAAACCGCTTTGAAGGACTATTTTAACTATTTTTCACGTGTAGTGTGCGAAAATTTAAGAAACCTTCCACACTTTTCGATAAAAAAAAATCGTATATATATATATATAGCTTATTTGACTAAAACTATAAATTATAAAAAAAATTTTTATTTTCCTATTCACATATTTTAATTCTTAAATTCTCAAGAAAATTCTCAAGAAAAATTTTTTCTTTTGTAAAATTTTTTCTTTTTTATAAAAAAAATATTTATATATATAAAATTCAAAAGTTGGAAGTTGATTAATATTTAAATTAACAATTCCTCTGTTTCTTATACATTTCATTCCATTGCTTTTGATCCTCAAAATAATATTGTGATACTTCTGCCATATATTTTTTGTGCTGTTCTTTTTTCTTCAATAACCAGTTCTTACGATCTTTTCCTTTCAATAAAGAATATTCTTTGGTTGTTGATTTTATGTTATCAATCCAATAATATCGATGAACAGGAACTGCAAAGGCACCTCCCCTAATCCAAACGCATGGTAATGTATCTATTACATCAACAGGTATTCCCGCAGATTTTTCGAGGTCCTCATGACTAATAATAATTGATTATATTATTATTTTAATCATTTTTGTTTAAAACAAAGCAATTCCGTGTAAAAGAAAAAAAAACCACTTACGTTTTTGTTCTCTTGAGCAAACACTTATCGCAACAACGAACTCTAAATTCCCAATATAATCTTGAAGACCCCGGATCACTATTTCCACAAAATTCACAGCTTTTATCATAAATTAATATTTTTATATAATTTTTTTCGTCCATTCCTTGAGGTGGGGGTAATTGTGGGTAAGTTAAAAATTTCATTCTTGAGGTACGCCAAATGTTTTGATATGTAGTTGATGAAGGTGTACACAAAAAATTTCGATATTGTTTACAAACTCTTGATAATTTGAAAATATCGATTGGTGTTAAATATTCGCATATTTTGGAAAAAATCTCCGGTGAAGAAGTAACAAATGACATGGTTGAAGATGATGATGGTGATTTTTGTTGATTATTTGATGGTGATGTCGGTAACAAAGTTCCAATTGATTTTGTTGGAAGAATGATTGCTGGATTTGTCATAGTAAGACTCATATTCAATTAAAGTTCGTTAAAAGATTTTTTTTTATTTTTTATTTTTTTATTTTTCCTTTGAACGAAGTGACTAAGATGAAATTTTTTTTTTTATGTCTTAAAGAAAAAAAAAGGAATTAAAGGAATTATCAAAAAGGAATTATCGGGTTTTACAAGATCTGAATATATGTTATATATATATATTTTCTTAAAGAAAGGTTAGATTCTTTTTCCTTTCAAGAGAATTCAAGAAAATTAATTCTAGAGAGATTTGAGATTTTTCACAAGATCAAGAAAAAATTGAATATCAAAAAAATTAAAAATGTATATATTTTTCTTAAAAATTTTTTTTTTTAGATGGGGGAATATTGTGTTATAAAGATGAAGTCATTTATGCAAGGATGGGGAAATATTTTCAAACATCAAAACAAAGTTTACCAATACCAAGTACTGAAATATTAAAAAATTTTTACGCAAGGAGGAGTTTTCCTTAGTCGATCCAGAAAAAAAAAAAAGGTTCCAGCCAAGATATTTATATTTTTAAATTCTGCAAGGAGGCTTTTCTTTTTTTTTAAAAATAAAAAAAGTAAAATAAAAATAAGTGGGAGAAATTTTAATGTTATTGATAAGGAAATGATTTGAGGAAAAGATATATATATCTTTTTTTTTTTGGAAACAATCAATTTCTTTTTTAATTTCTCTGTTAAAAGAAGAAGAAGAAAAAAAAAAGATATGGCTTAATGGCTTGACCCTTATTTAGTGATGGAGGATTTGCTGATTTTGGCTTTTTTTTTGTGGGCGTTTTACAGTAAGCAAAAAAAACTTGTATCTTTTTAATTATTTTTATGATATTACATAATTCATCGCGACATGTACTTCTGATCATGCAGGTTTAACTATTTGAAAAAATAACCTTGTTCGATTACAGGATGCCGATAACGAACACATGTAATAGCTATTGGTTTAAGTGATTCTTTTGCATAACTTACCGTTAAATAATAACGTTACAAGTTTTGAGGCTAACCGAATTAATAGGAAGTAACTTTTTTAATTCTTTCTGGTATATTTAATATTTTCTTTTTTTTTGGGCTTTTAGAGATGTGTATAAGAGACAGGTATAAATATGTTATATCTGATATTAGAATTAAATAACTTACTCCCTATTATTATTAAATAATTTTTAATTAATTAATTTCTTTTTTTTTACTTACATTATAAATAATTATTAGGCTAATTTTTAACTAATTTTTATTTGGTTATTTTATCTGTCTCTTATACACATCTATATTTTTTTTTTCTCTGTATTTACGGTGAACAATGATGATGATGCATCGGGGTTGAATGATTATGAAGCCCCCGTCAATAAGAAACAGTTTAGAAAAATAAACTAAAATTCTTGAATTTTTTGTTTACCTATTGACCCAAACAAATCAACAATAAACAAAAAGAAAATAAAACATGTAAGAAAAGAAACACAAATGCAATCGGTATCTTATTTTGAAACTGAAAAATGTTATCAAACCACTAAAGTAAATTGATAACAAAGGAACTAAAGGTACATACTTTGTGATCTTTCTTTAGTTTAACATATATTCGCAAATAATTTCATGATCATCATTCATTATTTTAAATGTCATCATATAACGTGTAACGAACTACAAATGGCTCAATTTTTATTAGTTCGATACCTTTGAGGAGAGTCGTTAATGAATATTCATGCTGAAACTTGGCGTTCTCACAGGTCTCTTAACGTTTCTAAAAAGGCCTAATAATCTAGTGTTGGTTTATTCCAGGTATAGTCTAATGAATTTACGCTCGAGTGTTTGTGCATTTGACAAGAAGGGAATCAAGGAGGTCCCGTAGTAAACAATCCTGCATGTGAAGTTTGTCAATTTAATGCGTTTAAATATTGGAAACGATTAGTTACTCCGTTCGGTATAACCAAACATTTTCCTTTTGTAGATTACCTTTCCGGTTATATATCTTGAATTAAACTTCATACTTTACCCACGATGGCACGAGAACGACGAGTGGCATAAAAATACAAGTTAAAAAACTGGTTGTTTTTATGAATTTATTGTACGACAAAGACAAAAATTTTTTTAATCGGGTACCGTGTAACTAATATTTTCCAATATTACTTTGAAAAAAAAAGAAACGATAGACGAAATCGATGCATTCGTGGCGAATAAAATTGCACATATTGTATTTTGCATAATTTATTCATAATCAACTTATTGCATGCAGGGACAAAACTTTAACAATTTGTCATGTTATTTTATCAATCTAGTCTTCATTTGCCTAAAATAGGTTCAATGAGTTCCAAAGGTATTTTTTTTAGTCATCTTGCATTATCTCAAATAACTTTTCATACTACTGGTGCAATATCTGATATATCTGATATCCAATTATTATTATTTATTATTATTACAAATTTATAAAATATATTGTTTTTTTACTAAATCAAATTTCTCCCGTGGCTTATTTTATTATTATAATCGTGAAACAATCAGCGCATATTTATAACACGACATGTACTGATCTACATGAGACGCACAGCCGAGAAAAGAAAACGTCAAGCGTATCCTTTGTATTGTATGTATATCATCGTCATCTCGTCCGCATTTTACTCTTTTTTTATTCATTCAGACATTCAAAACCCCAAATGCGGAAAGTTATTTATACTATATTTTTAGTTTCAAAAGTTTCAAAAAAAAATTTTCATCTTTTTTTATTTTTATTGTTTTTTTTTCATTCAACTGCAATTTTTTTCTTCTTTCCTGCATAAATTTATGCCCGTTACTTCGTATCACGAATTCCAAAAACTTAAACTGATTGTTAGATAATTATGACCATATGACTTCTAAACATTCTTAATTTTAACCCAATAGAAATTAATTTTTTATTAGAGAGAAAAAAAAAAGAATGGAAAAATCTATTTTACGGTAACATCATGTTTATTATTATTTTTTTTTTAGATGATCAATCCATAATGTTTAAGTTTTGATTGGTTCGAATTAATTTCAAAGGGCAGGCGCAGTACGTCTTTTTAAGAAAAAAAGCTCGTGAATTATGAAAAGACAATTATAACATTAAGTAAATATTTATTATTATTTATATTAGTTGAAAGTTTAAATACATTTACAGTTTAGGTTTTTTCTTGGCAAATAATATGTATATTATTTCAGTGGTACTATATCCAAATATCTCAAAACATACGATAACAAAAAAAAAAAAATTGTTTCACAAAATAAGATTTATTATTTAGTGAGTAATCGATTAACTTTTCGGAGTTATATATCTTCCTAGAACGAAAATTCCATTGAAATAATGTTTAAAAAAAAATGTAATACATCAAATATATCAAATATGATCCAAGCAGGTTTATTTTATTAAATGAAAAAAAGATCAAATGATTTAACTGGTCGAAAACACATTATTAATAATGGTAATTATTATCTTATTATTATTTATAATAATTATTTTTTTTCTTTTAATTTAGTTAAGAACAATATATATATATATCAAGAAGAAAAAAAAAGTCGTTAAAAATCGGAAAATTTTAACTTCAGGTAAGAATATTTACATTGCCCCGATTACAACGCATGAATAGAATTGTAATTAAACGTGTATTAAGCTTGTTTTTTTTGTTTTTGTTTTTTTATTATTTTAATAATAGATTGGTAAACAATAAACAATTTATGTGAACCATGCGTTGGTCATTTCACCAATAATCAATGAAAAGGATCAATAAAGAACCATGTGGTCGATATAGAAGTAATATTATTAGTTCGATCATTATAATACACTAATACAGTTAATGTACCTGCATCCAATATTAAAAATTTATTGGTGATATCGAGCCCTAATCGATCGAACAGATTTACAGAATTACTGTATTAGTAGCGTAATCGGGATTCTTTGGTTCGCACAAAAAATAAAATTAATAATTTATGCATGTAAAGGTCAGGCCAAGTTACATTTCTTGTTTGGTCAAAAGAAGAAGTAGTTCGATAAAACAACATTGATTTTATTGGTCTGGCCTTTTAATCAATCAATCACGTGATAATATTATTTCTTTTTTCGATCACATGAAGTTCTAAAAATGATGAAAATTGAATTCATCTTTTTTTCTGCCTAGGTAGAAAATTAGTTCTGGTAGGCAAAATTATAATTTTGCTATGACATCCTTTTTTTTAAGGTCTTTTTACTAGACGTTTTAGGTTGCAAGTTTATTTTCACTTTCGTTCCTTCATTTTTGTTTCATTAGCCGTTTCTTTTTCTATATAATGAAAGTTTTCAATTTCTTCATAATTATTAGGTATAATGGAACAATGGCCTTGTAAGGACGGACTTTTTTAAAAAAAGGGAAGACAATGATTGACACGACGACGAATCAAGATGATATTTTTCAATTAATTTAAATTTTTTTATTTTTTAATTTTAGGAGCTACCTTTGATGATGTCTTTTTACATACGAAACAGACGAAGATTTAAGTAATTTTATTCGTAATTGAAATTTGTATAAGATTATAGGTGAAGGGAATAAAAAAATTTTAATATTTAATATTAATATAATAATAATCTAATCTTATTTCCTTTATCATGATGTATCATGATGTATACTAAAAACATTCGTTCCCAGTGCCAATAAAATTAAATCATAAATTATAATACCACCAACTAACATGATAGAAATTGCACTACATCCAATAGCAATTTTCATGCCACTAATTTCCGAGATCCACGGGAATGCCTTAAAATTATAATTATTTAAATCACTTTTCTGAGAATTATCACAAGTATTATCGCTGGATATAATTGAAGGATGATGATGACAAAATCTTTGACGAAAATGAGTATCAAGTGGATCAACATTTGAATCCAATTGACTATTATTCAAAGTGATTATGGGCGTGATAACATGCCTATGTGGAGATCTTCTTCGTTTTAAACTATTACGTGAAATTAAAGAAGGAGGAGCTGATAAATGCTGCTTTTCTGAAGAATTATGATGTATGTTATAATCAGCGGTCATTGTTGAATGTGATCGAATTCTAACAGGTGTTGAACAAGGAGAATGATCTCCACTTAAAATAAGTTGTGGTATTGGTATATCAAGATAATTCGCTGAAGTTATCTGATGATGAGTTTTCTCTGATTCAATTTCATGTTGCGTTGTAGTTTCTGTTGCTGCATTTGACGTATTTATTACAACTAAATCGAAATAATTTCCTCCCGGATGATTTTCTGATATAATTATTGGACTGACTTTTGGACTGACTTTTGGACTGATTTTTGGACTTGAACGATAAGTTCGTATAGACAAAGAAGTTCTTGTAGTTTGAATGGATTCATGTGATTTCTTACGTATAGGATTATTTTCTAATAATTGAGAATGGGAGATAGGAGGTAAAAGATGTTTCTCATTTGGAGAAGGTGGACTTACAACAATAGGTAAAGAAGGCCAATTGTTCATCTCATTATTATTATTACTATCATTAATGAGAGTCGAAATGTCTTGCCCATTGAGTGTTAATAAAACACTTTTAATCGATATTGTATCTGATATACCAGATTTCTTTTTTTCAATTTCTATAGCAGGTTTTTCACCTCCTGTTTCTACTTTAACTATATCATCTTTTAGATAAGGTTTCTTTATAGTTATATAATACAAATAGAATGGTAGGATAAAATTACATGAACTACTAAATATCAAACTTGCCCAATTTATAAATGCATTTAACCAAAATCCTGTTTGGAAAGGAATGATTATAATCCAAGGTAATGCACAAGATAACAAATTCGCCATAACTAAAAAAAAAAAAAAATTTCATTGAATTTAAATTATTTTGATTTTTTAAAGAAAAGAAAGAAAGTATATTATACCTTTTCCGCAATAACCAGTCCTTAATAAATTATATCGAATTATGATCGTGTAGACTGGGATACTTGTAGTTAATGCAGCCAGTGGAAATAGATAAGTTGTAATGATGCTAATAATAGATTTTTCGGGTGATTCATTGACAGTAGAAATGATGTTTGATACTGGTCCCATCTTATAAGCCATTCCTCCCATAATTCCTAATAAGAGATAAACTATCGTTGAAGTAATCACAGAAAACCAAACCGCTTTTCGAATAGGAACCGATGGGTTCACATCGTTAACCCAACTCGGAATTGTTATAATAAACGCGTAATTAAATAAAACAGTTCCTATAACTTGACTTTTATCATATCCAATCATAGGAACAAGTCCTGCATCAAGTCCATGAATAACAAACGTAACTAACCACGTGAGAACGATAAATGTTAACGTCATCAATGATATGATTTGTACTTTAATATTTTCTACGAGATCCATAATCCCCATAGGAACTGTTATACACAAAGCAATCTATAAATATATATAAAGAAAATAAGATTTTTGATTTTCTTTTTTTTTCAAAAAGTTTACAAACGAATTTATTTTTTTTACCAGATAACCGGCAGTTAATAGCATATAACGTTCTTCGAATGGACTTCCTTCTGCTTTTTGTCTATTTACACAAAAGAATCCAGCATCAGGATGAATTCCAATGCCGCAAGTTTTTCCAATTATTGAAATTACTAATGAATCCATTGTTTGTGCTGATAATATGATTGATGCTATATTGAATGATTGCATTGAAATGAATAATCCTGTTTGGATAAGATTTTTATAATATTTATTCGTCACGAGTATAGAAGAAAGTTGAGAAAATTCAACTTGTTTCTAAATTATACACCATTAGATTTAAATGAGGAAAGTCATTAATTTTTATCTTAGATGATTGAATGAAAAATGTAACATTGACAATCTTACTTGAAATTTGTTATTGCCGGATACTGAGCTTAAAGCTTCGCATAAAAATAATGATGCTGCGCCACTTAGTACGGTAGCCACAACAAACGTAATAACTGGACTATATAACGTAATAAGGATATTAATTTTTTTTTTTTAGTTAACTGCGGCGGATTAAATCTTACTTACATTAACCAACCTGCCGTCTGAAAAAGTAATGGTACTTTTAACGTATAAAAATGTTGGTAAAAATAATAGATAATAAATGACAAAAAAAAAGGGTAACAAAATTTTTACTTACTAGTGACGAGACCGGGACCTGTCATAGATGAGATTAATAGTGCCACGCTACCAAAAAATGAAATACCACTACCACTCTTTGTCATATTTTTTTTTTATGTATATTTGGTAATTTTTAATTTATGTAATTTTACGTCAAAAAAAAAAAAAAAATTAAAATAAAATCTTTATCGGGAAAAAAACAGAACTTTGGTTTTTTCTGTTGAGATTTTCTACGGAGAAAAAATTCAAAAAAACAATATATATATATATATATATATATTATTTATTTTAAATTTAAATTCAAACGTGTGAATAAATAAGTGGTAGGTCGGACAAGTAAAAAAAATTTTTTTTTTAAATCGATCAAAATAGATGAATAAAAATGTTTTAAGATGAGTAATAATTTATATATATATATATTTTAAGATTAAAAATGATTTGCGACAACTTTAAATAAAAAAAGAAAATATCATTTAAAATATCAAAAATGATATCAATGATTTTTTTTTTCATTATGCAAAACAATCAATTTCTAAAAATGATGCGGAATTATTGTCAATTGAAAATAAATGAATAATGAAATTTTTTTCCTCTTTTTTTTTCATATGTAAATTCAACGAAAAAATATCTTCATTTTTTTTTTCTATGTAATTAATTTTTCAAGCCATGAGGCTTGATGATTTATTTGATTTGGCTTTTTTTGGCTCTAGTTGGTAATAAATAAATAAACTGTGCCTAAATTTCACTAAATATATACATATATTATATATATATTTTTTTACATAGCCGTCTTTTTCTATGATCATAAATAGAAGTATGAACGTGAACGTGGTTAATAAAGTACGCGAAACTTCTCGATTATTCTTTATAATTTTAGGGGAGTATAATTGATTCATCGAACTTTACATATTCGATCTGAATTACAAGGTATAAAAATATTACATGATCGGATTGGTCTTGAATCCTATCGCTAGTCGGATTATATTACATATTATAAGAGTGATAATTTCCTCATTATTCTTGATGCTACCTTTTTTTTTCTATAGAAGAAAAGAATCTAAGAATAAGATCATAATAATCAAAAGAAAGAGATCTTTTGAAATATATAATGACATAATGATGAAATATGTATTTCCAAAAAAGATTAAGCTTTTACTGCGCGGTGGCACAAGTTTATGCGCAACTCATACGGCGTTGCGGCCGTTGCGCCGTTGCGTGTAAACAATAATTTACCGTGCCACACAATCAAAAAGAATTTGGAATTTTGTACAATTTTATTGCATACTAGTCTAGTATTTACTTGGATAAAAAAATTAAATAATACATAAAAAAAATTATAATTATAAATATATATTAATTATATGTGGATATAATATGTAAAATGCGTGTAATATATATACAAATTTTCAAATACTCCCCCCCTACCCTAAAAAGTAATAATCAATATATTATACTGGCTCTCGAAAATCTATTATACCATTTATTATGAGATTTTCTTAAAATTTTTTTACTTTCAGCTTCAATCTCTTTTCTCCAATCATTCCAATCATCCTCATTTAAATTTCTAATATTATTACTATTCATAGGGTACCAATAAATTCCCCAATCTCTCAATTTTTCAGGATCTAATTTCATATCAGAAGCAATTTCTTCTGCCATACAACTTGAACGTAATTTTACTTCTTGTAAAGATAATGTATTATGATATGACCATTTCGTCATTTCATTTCTAAATTCCCATTCATGATTTTCTATTGTGTTCATGTAACGTTCTAATTTTGTTTTTTGTTGGATCATCCAAACTGAAAGTAAATCGGATTCTATTGCTAATGAATAATCTGATTGTACTATTGGTATATGATCTTTCCAATATATTTTATAATCACAAGGTGATACATATGGAAGTCCACATAACGCTTCTTTTGGCATTCTATAATGATTTAATAATCTATATTCACTATTTTTTTTTTAAAAAAAATAAAAATATAATATTAATATTTTAAATAAAAATATAAAGTGTTTATATATTATATTATATATATTATTACCTAATGGTTCGGTGAAGAAAACAATCATCACAACTTCGAATTTGAAATGCCCAATAAATATGTGATTGTTTTTTACGATCATGACAAAATTGACACCTTATAGCTATATTTGTAATCATTATATAAGTTCTTTCATCCATTCCATCAGGACTAATTGTACCATGAGGTGGAGAAGAAGGAGGTGGTAAAGTAGGATAAGATAAAAACGTTAACCTTGACATTCTCCATATAGATTGTGTAGCTGATGAATTTGGTGAACATAATAAATCTCTAAAATAACGAGAAACTTGTGATAATGAAAATAAATCGTCAGGTGTAAGCGGTTCACATATTTTAATAAATAATTCAGGTGGTATTATTGAAGTTGCTGGTGGTCTTGAAGGTTGTGTTGGATCTATTGGTTGTGATGGGGTTTCAGGTTTATGTCGTTGAGGTGGTGGTGGTATACCTAATACTTTTCCTCCCATTGTTGAAAGTGTTTAAGAAAAAATTAAATCGATAATAAAAATTTCGGCAATCGAAATAAAAAATTACGAATTATAACTATATATATATCTATTTTAAACAATATAAATTCATGCAATGACCTATTGAGTAACCCGAGAAAATCATGACCAAAAAAGATAGACAAATAAATAACCACTCAATCACAGCCTCTTTAATTAATATTTAAATTAACCCATTTGTTATCAAAAATTGGATGACAAACAAGTTGATATACGACATATAAAAATAGATATTTTTTGTCAGTATGAAATAATTATATATATATATATATAAAATTGACAATCATTTTAGTATATAATTTAGTATATTATTATAAAATCATTTTAATATGTATTACAAAATCATTTTAGTATAAATAATAAAACCAATCTTTTACAGTTCAATGCTCACTCAAATCTTGTTTTTATACAATATTTCAATCGCTAAAGATTCAATGAGAGTGGACAAGCATGTAATGAGTACAGAGTGCTCGATAATCATAGCGTGCTTGTTGATCATAAAACCCGAGAATTGGTTTTCTCCGCAGCATAATTTCCTGAATATTAAACCCTTTACCCTTGAACATTATTGTTTATTAAAGTCATACATTTTACGTCAAAGCATCCATGTAATTGGGTAATAATAATTATAATAATGTTTCACCTAACATATATGATATACCTGTTTGTCATACATTGCCAAAGTTGGTTAGTGAATTAACGAAGAGTCACGCTACTCATTTATACGATTTCTCAACCCGTTACCACTATGGTAGGCTTCTCTTAAAATTTTGATTTAATCTCTTTAATCTACGTCATGTAACGAAACATAAAGTCTGTATATTCCACTCATTATTTATTATATGCAGTACATTTCATTAAATCATGGAAATTCATTTATTAATACGGTAAAAAATTTTAGACAAAATTATTCGTTCAAATCAAGATGTATGATTTTAATCATTACAGAACGTATAATATTTGGTAATTATTACTAGAGGTAAATTTCGCTATGTAAAATGTGTGCAAGGTGACAAATAATGTATTGGTTACACTTTAATTATTTTTGTAATACCTACTAAAAATAAATTTTTTGGAATTGATTCTCAAATTAGTACTTAAAGATTTAAAGTAGTAAGCTTCTCCTTCTTTTATCAAACCCTCAAAATGAACAATATTATAAAGTGTATAACTTATTAATAAATATAAATACTAACTACTTTATTATTAAGCAGCCATATAACTGCATCTTTGATATATTTCATTATTATAATAAAATTTTTGTAATACAAAAGATATTTTAAAAATCCATTTGTAAAATAACTTCATTATATTAATATTTAAAGTTATATAATGATATTAGTTATGTAAAATTAATACTTTAATATTATATTTGTATCTCAAAACTGCTTTTAATATTAAATATTCAAAAATCAGATTAATCTGTATAACTATCAATTTTCCTGTTTTTATTTACTAAAAATAAACAAATACTTTTTTACTTTTAAAAAAAAATAATCTTTACCAGAATATTTATTATAAAATTATTAAAATATATTAATTTTTTGCAAATAAATATAAAGAATTTTTAATTTATTCAAAATCTTCCAATTATTTTAAATATAAAAAAAGCAAATAAAATACAATAAAAAAATTCAAAAATATATTTAGGGTAGTAACATATATTAGCTAATATTAGTTTCATAATCTAAGTACCAATAAAAATATTTAATTTTATATTATATAAGATTTTGCTAGGACCCCAGAAAATACTTATATAGGTAAGGTCCCAAAAATATTTTTTATTAGTAGCTCTAAGCATAGGTTTTTACTATGATCGCTAAGCATTGTTGATATCTAACCTTAAAAATTATATAAAAATAAGCAAATCAATCTTCTAACCTAATTAAATTTTTATTATAACACATATAATTTATAAAATATATTTATTAATTAATATATTTTATTAAATCCAATTTTAAATATGTTGTGAAACTAAACTAAACATAATATACAAGTAGATTAACAATATTCAATTAATAAAGTTTAATAAACAGTAAAAGAAAAATTCAAAATTAATACTATTACAAAAAATGTAAATTGCTCCATAAGTATTATACTTACACCCATAAAAATTAATATGTAGGTAGTTTCGACTTTGCTGAACAATTTTCAATTAATTTAGAAAGTCAATTTCATTTAACCAAAGGGGTGTAATTACGCTCTGAAGTTGTAAATGAAAAAGTGAAAAATTTAAAAGTTATTACTATTATAAAAAATATGCTTTTCTATATAAATATCATACTTAGCCTTATGAAAATTAAAATACAAGTAAATTTAACTTGCTGAATAACCTTACTTAAGCATAAAAGATAATTTGATATAACCAAAGTGGTGAGAAGTGAAATTATATTTTAAAGTAAAACATATTTACAGTAATTTTATTTAACAAAATAAACATGTATAATATAGTAATTTTATATTAAAATAATACACTGAGTTTAATAAAAATTAAAAAAATACTATTGAAAGATAATTAATAAAATATTGAAAAAAAAAACTGAAATTTCATCAAAAAAAAATTTTTGTTTATGTATTTATATAAAATTGTGAAATGTAGTACAAAATTAACACTCACCATTAGTGAAAATAAAATAAAAATTAATTATAAATTCAATTTATAATATTTTAAAAAGTTCTATAAATATGAAAAATAAGCAACTATAAACTCTTAGTATTTTAAAATAATACCAAAAATATGCAATTTAATTATCTTACATAGTATAAAATTTTCTCAAAATTAAGCATTATAAAATTCTTACATCATAAAATTTTTCTATATTGGCTAAGCACCTTGGTACTTTACATATATAAGCATTTTCCAAGGTCTTATATCCACCCCATTTAAATTATTTGCTCGCTACTAAGCTAAAGGTTTTTTATTAATTTGTTTTAAGTTATTACTAACATAACAAAAAAAAACAAAAATTAAAAAAATTATTTAGTTTATATTATAATTTGCAATTTTTTATTTATATTAAAACAGATTAATTAGAAAAATATATTATTTAATCCAAAATTCCATTTTCAGTCTAACACGATGGAATTTACAATAAAAAAATAATGAATATTAGTAAAACATTCTGAAGCACCTTTTTTACTATCTCTTATCTCTCACTACCATATACAGTACCTGCTCAGTTCCAAGGTTTCAGTTCAAAAATCTAAGTAAAAAGAATTTAAACCAAAAAAAAACTCCCAGTCACTTCAATTCCAAGGCACTGGTTTGGAATCTACAAAAAAGAAAGAAAAAGAACATTATTAAACATTCTTATATCAAGAACACCCTTCTCCTAGTCTTGTGAATTGATGAACAAGTACGGTATTTTTTTTTCAATTCTTGGATGGTAACGGTAAGTTTATTTTTTTTTCTTTTATTCTTATTTTATATATTTTTCTTTTATTAATTTAATTTTATTTTTTTTACTTTTTAGGTTTTGGTTGCTTAGCATTACTGACCCACTGTAGATATTCAGGAGCGGCAATGTTAGAAAGAAGGTTTTTTTAATATATTAATATAAGAATATTTAATAACGTTCTTTTCTTTTTCTTTTAAGAACGTTCTTTTCAACGCATTTTCTGAACTTGGAGGTATAGTATTTCGAAGGAATATTCATAATATAAGAACGTTTAATAACGTTCTTTTCTTTTTCTTTTTGTAGAAATAGACTTTTTGACGTATTTCCTGAACTTGAAGGAACAGCAATTTGAAAAAGGTATTAAAAAAAAAATATTTTTTTATAAAAAAGAGATTATCAGCCGATTAGATCAGTAAAATCAGATCGATATTACATCGGAAATGCTAAAACTATATGTATATCATATGATATATTATGCCAAAATGCCAAAACAGTTTTAATAGTTTTGCATTTCAGCATTTTTGATTGCTTGCCAAAACCTAATTTTGGCAGTTTCAGCAGTTTTGGCATGCCGAAACTTCCTAGTTTCGGCAAGTAACCTTACTCATATCGTAGAACAACCTAGTAAGTGAATCATAATAAATTTAGTCAACATGATCCAGCTTTTCTAATTTAAGTTTTACATATTAACTATTTCCTAAATAACATTAAAACGGAGTTATAATGAAATATTTGTTGATAGGATTAGCTTAATTTACAATATGCTTATTAAACCATTTGGATTTGTCTTAACTCCTAAGTGAAGTAAATAAATTTAGATCTCTTATTATTGCACTATTAACGCAAAAACTGCCTGTATCTTTTTACGAGAAAATGAAGCTTTTCCAACTTGCTGATTTAATCCAAATAAACAAAAGTGAATGTGGAAGTAATCTATCAAAACATCATATTTCCCATTTACTTACAGATATTATTGAAAAGTAAAACTTAAATAATACCTCAGAAGATATGATACATTGGAGTATAGATAGTTTGATTAAAATCTTACTTCAGATTTTTCACAAGAGTCTTGAAGGAAAAATTCTTCCAATTGAAATTGATAGAAACTGCAAAGATTGAGAAATAACAACGGTGGGTACTAAAAGATCTAATTTTTTATGTTGGATGAACAATGTACTCTTATTTAAAGGTGAAGAGAAGGCTGAAGTCAAAAATTTTTAAAATGCTGTGAAAGAACTTGAAGAAAAATTCAATAAGTTCAATCTAATGTATTTTGGAAAATTAATTATATAATAAATAATAGTATATTACACTATTTTAATATTGATATTTTAATATTATTTTACTATTCAATTTTATTATTATATTTATTATACATATTATTCTGTTATATTACATATGATAATATCTTTATATTATGACTAATTAAATTTTCAACACTTCTAAAGACTCTTCCTGTCATTTAAAATTAAAAGATTTCCAATTTTTTAATGAATTTTTATATATCTAGAGTGAATTATCGCCATTTTTAAATTAGTGCAATCAGTCAATTTTTATACTACATGATGCTAAAATTATCAGGTAATCAGATTTTATATAATGATCAACATTAATAACTAATAAAATTTTAAAATTTTACATAATTATTTTTCACGTATTCGTAATTTTGACGTGCAAAAAATGGTAAAAAAAAAGTACAAAATTAAAACATGCTTTGGATGTCAAAAATGTTTATATTGTGATATCAATTTAGAAAAAGATATATGTAATAATGTAAATGCAAAAAAACAGTTAAACCAACTAGAAAAAATGGGACTGTTCTTGTCAAAAATGCATTTTCAAGAGCATTTGATCCTACTACTTTTAATTCTAAACAATTTGATTTTGTTAAAAATAAAAATGAACATTTCCAATATGAATATGATTTAACAAAAAATATTTAATTTTCACTTTGTACAAAATGTAATAGTTCTTATCAATGATTGTCCAATAGTTTAAATTTGATACAAAAAAACAGGAAGAACAAAAAGAACAGAAACTACAGAAGTTATTGATCTTGAAACTGGCTTTTCTGAAGTCTCTACAGTAACTCAAAGTGAATCTAAACACAATGATTCAGAAAATGATGATGATGATAAACAATAAATGGAAATTAATTATAAACTTGTTATCAAACAAGCTGATGGTTCTGCTCTTCTGGCTAAAAATTATTTAGTAATAATTTCTGAATTAGACGAATTTTTACTTGCAATTCAAAATAATATTACAGTTCTTCTTAAAGATGATAAAATCAATGCTAATAATTATAACATTTCTTTCAAATCAGAAAAGACTCAAGAGGCTGGTACTTTATTAGTAGATGTATGTAATTTTAAAATTTTTGATTAGAATACGTTAAACTTGCTGTAGCAAAAAGAACTATTGCTTATTCTTGTTACTATGAAAAAAAGGAAAAGCTAGTGAAATGAAAGAAAAAGGTTAAGTTTATTTTATGCTTTTTTATTACACTGTATCTTTGAAAAATTATTAAAATTACATATTTTTTTGATTAGGAATCTAATTCAGATGATGAAGAAATAATTTGTGATGAATCAATTCCAAAGGGTGGCAATAGTAATAAAATTCCAAAAGTTTCAGATATTTCTATAATTGATCAAAGAATTGCCAAAAATGTTATAGAATTACGAAAGGAAACTTGGTATTCTATTCATAATAGGTATTGCTTAAAGGATTGTGAACTCCATGCTGAAATAAGCAACATGATGTTTTTGACTTGAGCTACAGAAATGGTGAACTATTTATTATATTTATAATTGATTAATTTTATTAATTTTTTATATTTAGCTTAATGGTCTTGCTACAGTTAAAGAATCACCAACACATCCTTTATTTAGGTATACATATTCATCAAAAAATAGATCTCAATCAAATTTACCTCAATTTTCAAATAATTTGATTAATCCTATTTTTTCTACCCTTCTACAAGCATTAGTTACTCCACATTTTCTTCAACAACCTTCATCTTCTTTAATAGCTAATAATTCTATAGTATCTCAATCATCACAATCAATACCTTCAATGGCTGAATTCTTGTGACAAATAGATGAACCAGAGAAAACAGAGGATTATTATTTTAATTTTTTGGAAGGATTTGAAAAACAAAGAATTAGAGTAAAACATTTGAGTAAATTGAATGATACACAATTTGAAATTTGCGGAGTAATAGCAGTTGGAGATAAAGTTGCTTGTCTAAACCTCTTCAAAATCCTACGATTAGTTTTGTCAAAATTTTACTATAGATTTATTATAATTTTGGCAGAGTTTTGGCAGTTTTGGCATTTATAATAAGTTTTGGCAGTTTCACCTTTCTCCAAAGTTTCGCCAGTTTTTTAATATAACTTTAATATAATTTTGGCAGAATTTTGCTTTTTGGCGAAACGCCATCTTGCCTAAACCCCTAAGTTTCAGCAAGCAACCTTGGTTAGAAATATCGAAAAGCTGTTCAAAAATACAAATAAATAGATTTCATTTTATAATAATGAATTGCGTTATATAAAAATGTTTTATTCAAAATATTTTATTCTATTTATTCTATTGATAAAAAAAAAATATTATATAAAATATTTTTTATTCTAATATTTTCTATTTTTAAAAATACCCACATCCTTTAAAATAACCTTTTGCCATTTAAGGAGCAATTTGAGAACAAGTTATTTATTGACATTATTGTCATCATCCTGCATAACATCATCTCGTAGTTCAAGATTCATAAGTTGGGAAAAGGAAGTTTGATTGGAATCAGTATTTATTTGAAGAATCAGTTCATTTAAGCCGTCTTCAAGTTTCATTTTTTTTCTGGAGATCGGGTTTATTTCTTTTTGCGTATTCTTACATTTTTCATAACATTTATTGCAAGTTGAATATTCTTTCTATGGATTGGCATCACAAGGACGGTAAAATCTGCCTTTTTCTTAGGTAAATAGATAAACTGTAATGTACAGTCAGCTAAACTGTACTGTACGAAAATATTTTAGCCAATCATAACTCATTGTATACTTTTCAAATTTTTTTTATTTATCGCAATAAAATCTGATTGGTGAATTCTCACTTTATACAGTACAGTAGTTTAGCTAACTGTACAATACAGTTTATATGTATACTCTTTTCTTTGCATAGTGTTTTTTAAAAGTAAAAATAAGTGAGATTAATCTAAATATGTGATACACAAAAGCGTGATTCCTTCTCATTAATAGTATAGCGAACATGCTTATTATCACATACTGATCATTTGCCGATCATAATATATCACTGGTCAAAATCAATTCTATCGGGTACATATCGGGTACCTATATATCGGTTGCTAATCGGATAATTATCGGGTATTTTTACATATTGGGTACCCGATAGTTAAGCTATTAGTCACTGATATTGTATATCGGGCATTGATCTATCTTACACATATCAGGTACCCGATATGTAAATTTTAATACGTAAGATTTTTATTTTGTACAACGTACTGTATTATATATAATCCGTTTCAACTAAAATTTTTTATTTAAATTCATTTTTTAGATAATTTTTATAAATAATTTTCTAAGAAATTTTAAAAGTCCATTTGAATAATATTTAATAGGGATTTTATTTAAGAAACTTTTAGATAGATTTTTTTGAGAAATTTTTTAAGAGTCCGTTT